AGCACACGAGACAGGACTGCATCCAGACAGTTCTTGACATTACTTCCTTGTATTCAGGTGGAACTTCCTGTGCATCGGTTTCTGGCCATTCCCTCTTATCCTGTTCCTTGGCACCACCAAGAACCTGGCTCCATCCTCTTGATACCCTCCCTTCAGAAACTTGCAGACATTGATAAGGTTTCTGTCAGCCATCTCTTCTTGAGGCTGAACAGACCTAACTCTCTCAGGATTTCCTTGGAAGGGAGATGGTCCGGTCCTGTAATCATCATTGTTGTCCCCAGCTGGACCCACTCCAACAGCCCCGTGTCTCTCTTGAACTGGACACGGCACTCTAGATCTGGCCTTACCAGGGCTGTGTAGAAGGGCAGGATCACCTCCCTTGACCTGCTGGCAGTGCTCTTCCTAATGCATCCAGGATTCCATTGGCCTTGGCCACAAGGGCACACTGTTGCCTCGTGAACAGCTTGTTCACCAAGACTCCCAGGTCCTTTTCTGCAGAGCTACTTTCCAGCAGGTCATGCCTAACCTGTACTGGTGCCTGGGATTATTCCTTCCCAGGTGCAGGACCCTGCAGTGACTTTTGTTGAGAAGAATTGCTTGAGAAAATTCTCTGCCCATCTCTCCAGCCTGTCAAGGTCCTTGTTAGAGTCTCTGAGGTGTTGGCCACTCTTCCCAGGTTTGTGTCATCAGCAGACTTGCTGAGGAGGCACTCTCTCCTTTCATCCAAGTCACTGATGAACAAGTTAAACAACAGTGGGCCCAGTTTTGGACCGTGGTGGACACCACTAGTGACAGGCCTCCAACTAGACCCTATGCTGCTGATTACAACCCTCTGGGATCTGCCATTCAGACAATTCTCAATCCGCCTCACCGTCCACACTTCTTGAGTGTGGACATGTGGATACCCTTCCAAACACTGAGGGCTTTTGCTAGAGAGTTATGGGGGAGAAAGAGGCAGACAGGACATGGCATATTCTAGGCCTGAAACAGCTATTTTTAACCTTTGTTCTGTTCTCATTGGCTTACTACCATCATGTGGGGGGAGGAAGATTTAGAGTTCAGATGATGTGTAACTCTGTTTTCTGTTTCCTTTAGATTGGAGGATTCTCATTAAACAAATTAACTAATTTTCACCTGAAAGAAGTCAATAATGATGCTGTGGTTTGGGAGCATAACTCCGCTGATGATGCTGATTCAGCACAACAAAATTCCCCTAGAAGGGGCAAGGTCTGAAGTTTTTCATTTACTTCTGTAGTAGTCTAGCAGTGGTCGTTGTTCTCTAAAGAGAACAATTTTCTATTTTAGTTTTGTGTTTATGTTTCTAAACCATGAGCTGAACCAAGAGATTGCAGAAGTGCTTGCTCCAAGGCTTCCTGTGCTTTCCTCTTGGTCCTGAGAACCTTGCAGGAAAATAGATGTTATTTCAGACTCTTTTAGAAGACCCTGGGTTATAATCTGTCAGGGAAGAAGAAAGTTTATACAGTTGAAGCAGTTTCATCTCAGAATTAGATTATGCATATGAAAAATATTTCCTCTTTGCTTTGAACTATTCTTGCAAATTATGTCTATTATAACAACTTGGTAAAAAACAGTATCCATTATATGATTGCATGGTATGACAGTTAACAATACAGCCTAGGCTTTGCTAAAAATTACTCTGTATAATGCTTTCTTATTAGACTAGATGTGCTATTTTCATGGAAATTTATAAAAACTATGCCATAATCCCTTAAAGAATCAATTGTTACTAGTCATTGATGGTATTCTATGCCATAGCAGCAGGCCTTCATTTTGAAGTTTTGTAATCTGAGTTTATACTATCTTTTCCAATTTTTACTTGCAATTTTTATTGGAATTGCAGGAGTATAGAAGCAATGATAAATTATGTCACACTACATAAGAATTGTATCAGCTAAACACCTGTGCATTAAACATTAATCAAGCTTTTCTTCTGTAATTGGCAGGTTCCTTTAGTGTTTGATTCAGGACAGCAGTGTTCAGCACCTGTTGGTCAGCTCTGGCTTGAACTGTTTCGTTTCTATGCCTTGGAGTTCAATATGGCTGATTTGGTTATTAGCATACGACTCAAAGAACCAGTGTCTCGCGAATCCAAGGACTGGCCAAAAAAGCGTATTGCTGTGGAAGGTACACATATATATCAACAGACTTCAAAGAGCTATTACTTTCATTTCCTAGGGTACTGACTTGCCTTCTTTGTAATAAGTTAGAATTTTTTAATATTGGATCACAATTTCCAATAGAGTAGAGTATGTGTTGAATTAAAGTCAATTAAAGTGATATTTTTCTTGTATATTATATTCAACATTATCAAAAATATCAAGTGAACTTAAAAATCATCCTCAGCACAATTCATAGATCTTGTATCTTTACACAATGTTTAGGAGTAATTAACAGTAGTACATTTAAGTCCTGTAAAAATGTAAGTGTATTCTTCTAGTTAAAAGTTAACTCCTTCACTGCTGGCTCACTTCTTCTTTCTATTAGACCCATATTCTGTCAAAAGGAACGTGGCAAGAACTCTGAGCAGCCAGCTAGTGTATGAGTATGTTCTTCACTGCCTGAGAGCAACTTACAAGTACTTTGCCTTGCCTCACAGAAAAGGTGCAAAATTGAGCAAAAGGTCCTCTCCAAATGCCAGTGAGGAGAAATCCCAAATGCTTGACTGTGGAAAAGATGACATAAAGCATGAAGATTCTGACTTGCAAAACTTTGATGATACAACAAACACAGCAGTAGTGGAAGGCTGTGTAACAGAGACTATATGCACACACAAGGAACATAAAATTGATCCTTCAAAACTGTGTGATGGCTCAGAAAGTTTCACAGAAGAAGAATTGGCTGATGATGTCAGTCATTTAGAAATTACCCATGAAGACTCAGACTGTATAATTGAGGAAATTATTTCTGGAGATAATGAGAATTTTAAACCAAGTTGTGAAGACACAGAGAGTGGAAATGAGGATGAAGAAGAGGAGGAAGAGGATGAACATGAACAACAAAAAAGAAGATGGAACAATATTTTGGCTACTGAGCAGAGAATAGATGAAGACAGTGACAGTGGAGATCTCCCTGTTACAGTTAATGAGCACTATGTAGATACATGTAGTACATCAGACTTAGAAGGTTTTCAAAATGCTGTACTTACAGAGAATGATGACTTTGGCTTAGAGTGCGGTGGTATAATGGATGACAAGATTGACATCGATGGGGATAGCACTGAAGGTACTGATGAACTGGATGAATCCCCAAAAAAATTCAGATGTTTAGCAGAGAGTCAGGTATCCCAGATGATTAACTCAGATGATGAAGAGGAAGAGGAGGGAGCACCAAGTCTTCTAAACCAGAGAGAATGCAGCATCACAATAGGAGCTGGAGATAAACTAGCTGATGCATACACTGGATCTGGAGACGATGATGCACTGTCAGAGGAAGATGATGATTTTTCCATCCCCAGTAAATATGAGAACAAAGATTTCAAAGAAAATGTAGATGAACCTCTGAGAATCAATTTGAGTCAAGAGGATGTTACTGAGAAGGGAAGCCATTTTGAAGAGAATGCAGCAGTAGAACAGTGCTTGGACTCTGACCTTTTTTATGAATTCAGTAAACACGCTTTTACAAAGGGCAAGGTAAGCAAGCTGTATCAGAACATAAACATACTGCTTATGTTCTGTTAGAAGCGATATGTAAGTGTTGCTCAAATTCATTAAAGGACTATAGTTTTTTAAACCAATCTTGCTTTTTGTTCATGCAGTCTCCTACAGTAGTATGTAGCTTGTGCAAACGGGAAGGTCATTTAAAAAGTGATTGTCCAGAAGACTTCAAGAAAATTGAGCTTGACCCACTGCCAGCGCTGACACCCAAATTTTCAGTTATACTAGATCAAGTTTGTGTCCAATGTTACTGTAAGTTTTTTCCTTTGAATATTGTTGTGCTGTAGAAAAACAAGTGGAGAAAATAATGAAATAACCACAGGCTAATGGTGTTACAAAGGAGGGTGGTTTATTTGCTACACTGCATCTTTTTTTAAGATTTGTAAGGGCTTTCATAGGCCTGCTGAGTAGCCTGGATCTAGAGAAATAGAAAATGTTTAGGTTTGTCCTCTACAAACTCACTGTCTGATTACTCATTCGGACAAATTAATATAATTTCTGAGAGTTTTATTTTGGGTGGGGTTTTTGACTGATGCTTAAACATTTGTCTGCCTTGAATTTTGTTGCTGTTCTTTACCTTGTTGTTTTTAGTAAACAAAGGCTTCAATGTTCTAGAAAAATCGGAGTCAATATACTGTTTTGTAATAGTTCTCCACTTTTGTTCTTTTCAGAGTGACCCAGCTTTCCTCCTTTCTTTCTCGCCATTTCTGCCAGACAAAATGCATTTTTTGTCTAATTAATATTTTTCTTTGAACAGGTATTTTTCTTCTACTTCATCCTTGCTTTCTTTCCTTCACATGTGAATCTTCTCTAGCTTTCTCTCTCTCCCCTTCCCTGCCCCACTGTAAACTCCTGACTGTTTTCATTTGATTCTTTGCTGTTCACTTTTCCTGCAGGTCAGTTGCCTAAATTGTTGTCTTTTTGTTGTTGTTTTTTTAAGACGATTTTGTTCCAAATATTGTAGAGGATTGGGCTCGGGAACATATAAGACAAAACTTGGAAATCTACATTAGACAGTATTTCCCAGGTAACTAGGCAGTTCTAAATTAGCATTTATACTTTGGACAGTTCATACTTGAGTGTTTTCCAAGAAAACTTATCATTTCAGTGTAATAAATACTTTAGTTTTGAACATTTAACCTGTATTGTTCGTCAGCATTGCAATGCTTCATCACATTTATTTCTGTTCTAAGTCTTCTAGGACTTTTGTTTAAATTGGGGAGGGGTGGGGGGGGTATTTATTCATTTGTTCATATATGGATCACATTAGTAGGAAGGAACAATGGGAACTTAAGGAAAAAACAGTCAAAGGCAGTAGTGGAATAGTTTTATAATTGTTATTTTAGGTTTATTTATTAGCCAGACTTCTTGTTGGGGTATCTGCTCATACAAACAGTATGTGTTTTGTAATATTTCCTACTGGAACTTACTGGGTTTGGAATATTTTAAAATACAGGCACATCATCTGGCCTGTTTGCAGAACCCAAGTATTTGCAGTTTTTCTTTGTTGCTGGAGTTCTTACCTGTAACACCTGAACTTCAGTTCATGCTCTTTTAAAACTGGCAGAAGAATTTTTTGGCTGGAGCCAGGTGTATCCCTTACCCTGAAAACTTCTGTGGGGGTCAGTCTTGTATTTTTTAATCAGATTTCAGCTTGAACCTGCATGCTAATGATTTAATTACTACAAAACCTCACTTGTTTTTGGATTTGTGAGGCTGCTTATTTGAACCAGTAAAATTAGAGGTGCTTTTCTGATAAGCAAAGTTGATGAGAAATGAAGTTTTCATGTACCATAGAAATATAGTAGCGTTTTCATTCCTGTATTAGAAGACATGCAGACGTTTGAAGCTATGTATACAATTTAAGATTCCCTGTCAATATGTGGTTAAAACACATCACATCTCTTACAGGAACCAGACTGAATTTGTTTGGCTCCTCAAAAAATGGCTTTGGCTTCAGACAGAGTGACCTTGATATCTGTATGACAGTGGATGGTCTGAAAACCGCTGAGGTAGTTTGAAAATATTTTGGATTTGCTGTTAAATAAATGCAAAATTTTATTGTTATATTGTGTATCTAGTGTAACAAATTTATTACTATTTTATAAAAGTGTTTCCTATTAGAAGAAAACACTAAGGTGCCACAAAGGCAGATTATTTTAGAGGTTTTTGCTGTTAGTCTAGGCATGAGTTTAAGAATGATGCTCAGTACCCAGTTTTCTTCTGAATTCTACACTTCTAGCTTTATCTGTGCAGATAAGTAACATCTCAACTAGGCTTTGTGTCATAAAAAACTAGGAGTGGGTAACAGTGGAAACACACATCAATCTCCTTACATGCCTTTTTTAAAGCTTACATTACCTACTGTTGATTTTACACATGCTATTTTGAAACAATTCCTGATATTCACATAATTCTGTATAACATGAAACATTCAGTTATGCAACTTTAAGCTTAATGGCACATAATAAAAGGTTTGCCTAGATTACTTGCAGCAGATTCATCTTTCCGCTTTTTTTCTTAATGTCTTAGGGACTTGATTGCATCAGAATCATTGAAGATTTAGCAAAAGTGCTCAAGATACAATCAGGTAACTTTCTGGAAAATTAAAATAAGTTGTTCTGTTTATATGACTAGTTGCTGTAGTGAGAATTTTCTGGGGCACTGTAGATGAAAATCATCAAGATGAAACTAGATCAAAGAGCTTCATGTTAGTAAGAGTGACGTTAAATGTGCGAACATGTATTTTTATTTGGATAAGTAGTTCTATACGATTATAATGTTAGAGGACCACATCTGAACTGGACAGACAGTATGTTTACAACCTTTGTGCATGAGAGCAAAGAATTTAAGATTTGAGGCTTCAAATTAGTAGTTAGGTTGTATTTGTATGTTCAGTGTACAGTAAATTGATAGGAAAAGATAATCTGGTACAAGTTTGCAATAGGAATTTTGGTTTTTCTACAAGAAATCATGATTTTTATAGTGCTTGTTTTGGTCAATCTCAGATTCATTTAATGTAATTGGAGTGAACTATTAATTATCTCTTAAGCTTATTTCTTTGTCAAGAAATTTGTCTTATTTAGACTGATCTTTGTTTCTGAGGGGACTAAATGTGTATTTGTGTAAATTCTATTTAGCAGATTGGTCATGTTTGACAAATATCTAAAATCAATACTAAAACATAACTGAAATACAAGATTTTATTTTGTAGCCTTTTCATTACAGCTACTACAACTTTGAAGTTATTTGATGCTGCTAGCACCATATTGCAGTCATTCAGTAATAAAACTGATTTCATCCTAGGTTTAAGAAATGTCTTGCCTATAACAACTGCTAAAGTCCCAATTGTCAAATTTTTCCATGTCAAAAGTGGTCTTGAAGTAGACATCAGCTTATATAATACTCTGGTAAGGTTATCTTCTTTTTTAATTTTATGTTTTACAACAAAAAACTGCAGATACATTTCTTGAGATTGAAATGATTGATTGGATGATGGTCAGTAATCAACTGTTTCCAATTACTTACTGCAGTTTTGTATTTCAAAAAAGCCTATTTTTTTAAATTTGATTGGAGTCAGCTGCACAATTGCAACTTTAGAGTTGTCACCCTCCTAAGAAAATCAATTAGTTCTTCAGTAATAGTAAGAAACAGTGGTCTAAGTGTTTAAATTTCTCTGTATCTGAGAGACAAAATAATGAAACTTGAGCTTTACTACACTTCACTTCCCGTCATTACTCTTTCTTAGCCTTGAGACCTGGAGTAGTGATTTTGAACCCAGCTTGCCTGAACTGTAACATGTTAGAATTTACACAAAAAAACCCCGATCCACATGCTCTTGGCCGAATATTTTAAAAAGAAGTTTCATTTATTTCAATGTCTCTAAATTTTAAAACCCATATCCTTGAAACAGCAAAGGAAATTTAGGCTCAGAACCAGCTCTTTAATTTTCTGAAGGTTTTAAATGAGTTCAGAGTCTTGAGGAAGATACCTCAACCACTACGTAACTTTGAAAGGTTTCTTCTTGAAGTTACGCATCCACCTAGGTCCATTTGAGGCTCTCACATTCCTGGACTGAAATCTCTTGGTTCAGGAAGTTACCTTCTACCAAATATTTTGAAACTGCAGTAGCAGATTAACGCTTCTGCTGAAGTGCTGTTTTGTACCACTTCTGCAAAGATTAAGGATGTTCATTGGCTCTGTAACAGATCAGGTGGTAACCTCATTGTTGAAACCTCCTATCTCTGTACACATTCCTACTAGAGAGGGCTTTACATTTGCATTTCTTGAGGACACAACTTAGAGGTTTTATTTTTTTTGTTTTCACCTTATTTCGTAATGTCTTCAGAGCTCCTTTTTTTTCTATATGACTTCTTATTTTTGTAGGCCTTGTATAACACAAGACTCCTGTCATCATATGCAGCCATTGATCCCAGAGTAAAATATCTGTGTTACACAATGAAAGTCTTCGTCAAGGTAAGTGTATTTCAGACATACTGGAAGTAGTCGTGCTTGCAGCAAGGGATGATAACTATGAAGATACAAATCATGTTTCTTTTTTCAGATGTGTGACATTGGAGATGCATCTCGAGGTAGCCTGTCATCTTATGCATATACTCTTATGGTGCTTTATTTTCTTCAACAGAGAAATCCACCTGTCATCCCTGTTCTTCAAGAGGTACAGTATATCAGGAAAGAAATGAGGATCTGTACACAGTATTGACCAGAAGAATGTCAGTACTGAATATGAAGGGCTTTTCTAATGAGTTTTAATATTGTGCTTTCAGATCTACAAAGAACCAAAAAAGCCTGAAATTTTAGTTGACGGCTGGAACGTGTATTTCTTTGATAAGATAGAGGAGTTGGTGAGTAAATCACACTGATTGGAAGTAGTGTTACCTGTAGCTTGGCAAATGAAAGAAATTCCTTTGAAAAACATTGTTGCCAAATTTAGTGGTCCAATACTGTACTGTAATCACAGTTGGCAGCTAAGTACTACACAGTGCTCATTCCACCCCCCTTCCTCGGGGGAAGGGGAATTGAAAGAAGAAAGTAAAACTCGGGCTGAAATAGGAACAGTTTATTAATTGAAACAAAATAAATTAATAATATGAATTGTCACACTTAGTAGTCATAGTAGTAGTAGTAATTAAGAGAGAGAGAGAGGAATAAAACCCAAGAGAAACAAGTGATGCACAGTACAGTTCCTCAGCAATCGCTGAGCAGTGTGGTGGCTCATTGCTCTGTGTTTCTCATTACTGGGTGGTAACTCTTACAAATACCACCTGTATATTTGGTCATAGCTGGTTAATCCTATTGGATAATTTTATTCTATATAGGCACATAAAGTGAATTAATAAATTCTTTTTATAACAAGCAAAGCCTAATGCTAGAAGTTTTATTAATTGTCCACTTCTGTGGACATAGATAATAGATTAAAAAATTACACCATTTAAAATCAGTATTGGTTTATTAATGCCAGTTACGAAAGGAAGTATTCTGGTGTAACTCTGTTGTGTTTCTTTATAAAATAAGACTTGCATTGTTTCAGTTCCGAATTATGAAAATTATTCTGCTTAATGTAAATACTGGACATAAAAATATCTCTGTCATTTTCAGTCAGTTGTTTGGCCAGACTATGGCAAAAACACTGAATCTGTTGGGCAACTGTGGCTGGGACTTCTCCGATTCTACACAGAAGAATTTGATTTTAAGGAGCATGTCATCTGCATCAGGAGAAGAAATCTGCTTACAACTTTCAAGAAGCAGTGGACCTCAAAATACATTGTAATTGAAGGTAAAAGCTTATGGAGTACATAAATATATGGAATTTCTTTAATGCCCACGTGAAAAATTTGGGTTTTTTTCACAAGACTTATTTATTTTTATATTTCTAGTTTATAAGTTATTTGCTCATGTTCTGACATCCTCACAAAATTCCATGGAGTTTTGATAGTGCTAAAAATTAAGGGAGTTTTTGGCTACAAAAAGAAGTTGCAAAGCAGACTTCATATTTTTCATGATGACAGTAACTGACAGAAAAATAGATTTAATAAATCTTTTGGAAAAGAAATTAGCTATAATGCACTTGTTCTCTCAAAAATGCTGAATTTAGCTAAGCCCATATCTGCCCTGGACTTCAGGACAGCAGACTTTGGCCTCTTCAAGGACCTTCTCGACAGAGTCCCTTGGGATGAAGTCCTGGAAGGCAGAGGGGCCTGAGACTGCTGGCTGATATTCAAGGCTCAGTTGCTCCAAGCTCAGAACTGATGCATCCAGACATGGAGGAAATCAGGCAAAAATGCCAGAAGGCCTCTGTGGATAAGTGCTGAGGAAACTCAGAGAAAAAAAAAGAGACCTTCAGGAGGTGGAAGGGAGGAAAATCTAAGAGAAGCTAGAGACACAGTCGGGAAAGTTAAGGCACAGTTGGAATTGAGGTTAGCCAGGGACATTAGGGACAACAGGAAGGGCTTCTACAGGTATGCAACATGTAAAAGGAAGGCTGGAGGCAATGTGGGCCCGCTCCAGAAGGGAACAGGAGAACTAGCTACCCTGGATATAGAAAAGGCTGAGGCTCTTAATGACTTCTTTTTCACAGTCTTCAACTCCAACCACTCTAGTGCTTGAGTTGCTTTCTGACCAGAACCAGAAAGGGTATAGGTGGAGACTGGGAGGATGAAATCCCTAAACCCACTGTAGAAGAGGATCAGGTACGAGACCCTCTCAGGCACCTGGATAAGTCCATGGTCCTGATGAGATTCATCCTTGGGTCCTGAGAGAACTGGCTGACAAAGATGCTAAGTCACTATCTATAATTTTCCAGAAATCCTGGCAGTCAGGTGAAGTCCCTGACAACTGGAAAAAGGAAAACATAACCCCCATTTTCAAAAGAGGGAAAGCAGAAGAGACAGGGAACTATAGACCAGTCAGTCTCACCTCTCTGCCTGGCAAGATCATGGAGCAGATTCTCCTGGAAGGTATGGTTAGGCACACAAAAAGCAAAGACATGATTGGTAACAACCAACATGGCTTTA